ATGAGCATAACACGACGCTCCGATTATTCTCAAGTGCTTTATCTGTGGTTTTTACCAAACCATAGTTCTTAAGGTGATTTACTTTCTTTAGTAGTCGGTCCAGTTCTGTTCCGAATGTAAACAGCTATTTTAACTAACGCAGCATAACTTTTGAGGTAATTCCTCGTGAGCATACATCATTGTACGGGCGCACTCTACTACCGTACGATTTTCCCGTTCGCTCAAAGCATTCTGCTCTGGTGTATAGGGCGATACCAGGCGTTGCCTCATTCCGAATTCTGCTAATATTTTTCGTACCTTATCATTATTGAATTCACCTCCATAGTCGCTCAAAAGTTCTTGTAATTGATGTCCAGAAGCCTTTACATCAGCCAACATCTGTTTCAACTTTTCATAGACTTCAGATTTTGTCTGTAACAAATAAATAAATCTAAAACGGGTAAATTCATCTTTAATGATCAAAAAATATCTTTGCTTTGTATACGACACTGGAAATGGTCCATCCAGCCATCAACCTTTCACCAGGTTTTGTGGCTTTTTCTCTAGTACCGAATTTCTTCCGGTGTGCCTTTCCGAAAATACAGCCATCACACAACTCCTTACTGTCTGTAGTTTTTATTCCCAGTTCTCATTCTAGAATACGACTAACATGTCTTTTGTTTTGATGTCCAAAACGTTCATGGTACAATTGTAGCAAATCTTCTTTCTGTACAGCTGTGACATAACTTGAAGGCATCGGTATCAAGCATTGACTTACAATTATATGGACGTCGGGTCCGCGCTAAAAAGTGTCCGCACCTGTAAGGCGCTAAAATCGTATACAGAGCGCGACACTACGCTTTAGTCTTCATTTGTTCTACGGACAGCGCGATACTGCGATGACATAACAATTTAAATTTCGAATAGGTTGACTTGGGACATTTTTTTCCTGGTTTTTGTATTAGACCCGTCGTCCATTTATTTGTAAGTCAATGGTATCAAGGCTTTACAATTCAGAGTAAATAGACCTCCATGCCTCAAACGTTTTCCTGTAACTATGATTTTACCACCAATCTTCATGGTGCATGATTCTACATGTGACTCAAACACACTATTGGGGTTCATATCTTGAGCCGCCAACACAGAAAACAAATTCCTTTTAATTCCAGGTACGTACCAAACATCTCTGAGGTAAAACTGACTCGGTTTTCCATTTACAACAGTTGAAAACTGTATGCTTCTTTTGCCTAATGCCTTTACAATATTTCCATCTGCCGTAGTAACAGTGTGAATGTCTCCAAATTCGTTGAAATCCTCAAATAAATCTGCTTGCATCGTTACGTGACTAGTTGCTCCATTATCAATATACCACATCTCAGGATAATTCTCAGCAGAAATAGCAAAAACCGAAGTTAGCGTCATGCTAGACATACCCACAGTTCGTACATCCTTAGGTTTTGTCATTCCAGACTTCTTCTTAGGACAATGCAATTTTAAATTACCTTTTTCCTTGCATATAAAGCAGCGTCTGCTCTCCTCCTTCGAAGTGTCCAAATTCTGTTTTAGTACCTTCTGAATTCTTTTCTGTTTATTCATCTTCACAGTAAAAGCTTCAACTCCAGACTTTCCGTCATGTCAGTTCAACAGTGCCTTCTCGTGAACATATAACTGACTTGTTAAACTTTCTACTGTTCTGTCCTTCTTTGACATTAGCATCCAACTCGCTTTAAATGAGAAATATGTATCCGGCAAACTATCCAAAATCTTGCAGATTAGCAGAAACTATGGTAAATTTGTACCTTCACCTGATTTGACTAACTCCTGCTTCAAAGTATGCCACAAATTTTTAAATACAAGTCACCATGTCATCTGATGGATCCTTTTTCGCTTTAAAAAATGCCAATCAAGCATCATACAAACGGTCCTCGTTCATGCCGTCGTACAGCCGATGTAACTCATCCCCTACGTCCTTAGGGTGACAGAATCTCATCGCTTTGTCCAGGATTTCATCCAAAATGTTGTTCAGTCGAATTAGAGCAAATTTTTATAAGCGCTTGCTTGCCTTATTGAAAAAGGGCGAAAAACTAATGTTGATCATAAATTATATTCAAGCACTCCTAAAGACATGAGGCATGTGGCGATTTTCAAAGGAATCAGAGCGATTTTGTGTTTACCGCCAACGAACGCGTCTATGGCGGCCATATTTGAAAATAGCGAATAACAAATTTTAACCACAAATTATTATCCGGCACTTCTAGAGACTTTCACATGCCAATTTTCAGCCAAATCAGAGCAGTCTCTTGAGCCAGTCAAGTCTCTTTCGACAGCAACTTTTGACAAAAAAAACTCTTATATGGCAGCCATATTAAAAAATGGCGGAAATAAATTTTTGACCCCAAATTATGATTAAAAACACATAAACACCCCCGCATGCCAATTTCCAGCCGGATCGAAGCAAATTTTTCTTTAATCGCCGTTTTGAATATTTTTTGACACAGGCAGTTGACCACTATTACCATCTATGCCATTCCTTCCAGCACCTCCTACCTATCTCTAATAGTTACCGTGATAGAAGGCTTTGAAACATATATGGCGGCCATCTTGTTTATTTGAATTTCGAAAATTTTTAACTTCCGGCGGAATTTGACCAGGGTGAACCTCATAAAAATGCACGGACAAATATTCCCTCTATATATTATAGTTGAAATGAAATGAAATTTGTTTATTTGTGTGATTTTTTGGTGTAACAATTTGATGTTTAATAAATAACAGTGCTAAGTATCACAAAAAATCTACCAATAATGGCGAACAAATATTCTTAAGTAAACTATTACAAATTGTTGAAGTTATTAGTTCAAAGTATTACATTTAAATCTATTATTATCTTATCATATTGAAGTTATAAGTATCATAATATAAGATGTCAATATTGAATTATCATTAGTTTCCACGTTTTAAAACAGTCAGTGTACTGTCTTACAAATGTGGCTATCTGCTTTATATAAATGCATGGGAGTGGGAGGATATTCAACTTTTTGAATAGAGGTCTGCATGACTCTCTATAGTTAGCTTTGCATATTGACCTTATACATTTTTTTAAAATTTTAAGTACATTGTCTATATTGCTACAGTTTCCACACAATAGCAAACTATATTGTAGGATAGAAGCTACATATCCATGGTAAGCACTCAATGCCATTTCAACTGTTGCCACCTCTGTTAGTCACCGTAGTGCATATACAAATCTATTTAATCTTACGCATATAGACTCCACGTGAGCTTTCCAGTGATAGTGTTTATCCATTGTAAGGCCTAAGAATTTCATACACTCTACTTCTTCCATTCTTGTACCTCTATGTTCTATTTTTAATTGCAGTGGATTTCTTCTTTGCGACATAAATTGCATAACTTTGGTTTTTTCTAAGTAAATTTTTAGATTGCTATCACTCATACATATTGCCGTCCTTTCTATTACTCTATTTATTTCTTTCTTCAAAATTTAACATTTTGAGTTAATTCTCTTAAACTCTGACCAGCATTTAATCTTTCGATTATTCTGGAGTTTAGTAATTTCCGTACATTGAAATCTATTTTCCAAATACCTTCGGAACCAGTCATTGACCTTTCCCCTTATGCCTTGACTATGTAATTTATTTAGTAGTCGTTTATGACGAACACAGTCAAAAGCCTTACTCATATCAAAGAATAGGACTGCTACAGGGATCTTTTTGTGGATACTTTTCATCACAGATGTTTGTAATTTAAAATTGGCTAGACTGGTAGTTTTATTTTTTAAGAATTCATTTTGCGTCTCTGTTATTACATTATATTTAGTGAGAAAACTATTGAGCCTTTCAAGCATAACCTTTTCTAATTGGGACAAGTGTAACTGGTCTATAGTTGGTCATATTCCTTAAGTTACCTTTCTTAAATAATGGTTTTACTATAGAATATTTTAATCTTGCTGGAAATATACTTTGGCTAAATGATAATAGTAATAATAATTTTCCACATGCAGGTCTTCTCATATTTGATTCTTTGCTTTGGAGCCTATCCGCGTATAGCGGTATAATACTAATTTTTGATACAAGTGCGGAAAGTTAGTCATTATTCACGAGTCTCGAGGCTTCTTGGCCCGAGCTAGAGGGTCAAGACTCGAGTCATTTGACAGTTGACACCTGTCAAAAATTTAAGACACCGAATGGAACAGGATGGAAACAATAGTCTCATACTCAAGTCCTGACTTGAGCATTCAGGGTCGTACTCCAGAACTCTACTCAATGCTCAAGTCAGGATTTTAGCAGACTTGAGTATGATTTCAATCACTGGAAATACGACCCTAATGGCAAGGACTTGTGTGTGTGTGATTTCTAGTTGCTTTGAATCATACTTAATTCCTGATTTGAACATTGAGTAGAGTTCTGGAATACGACTCTCAGGGTCGTATTCCAGAACTCAATGCTCAAATCTGTACTTGAGTATGGTTTAAAGCACTCGAAATCATACTCAAGTCCCTGCCATCAAGAGTAGAGTTTTGGAATACTACCCTCAATGCTCAAGTCAGGACTTGAGTATGAGACTATTATTTCCATCCTGTTCCATTCAGTGTCTTAAACTTTTGACAGGTGTCAACTGTCAAATGTGGATATAATTTTTTAAATAAAATATAACATTTTCAAAATGGTAACTTTTCCACGACTCAACAATATAGTTTGATTTTTTTTTCCATTGATGTCTTGGAAATGTTTTGATTATAAAATACATGTATTTTTACGGTAGTTTATTAATTTTTTTTCCGTAGAAGATTGCAGTGGCACAAACGCACACCGCGAAGTGCAGATAAAAAACTCCTCATGCGTCATGGTTGATTGACTTCCAGAAGTCGCTGTGTTATTTTATTTTCATAATTTCACAGGACATTGGCGAAATCGCCATTTTTTTTGTTTAATTTTTATAATAATACTAAACTACCGTACATAGTTATTTTTCCTTGACATTGGCAAAATCATTGATTATTTCGATGGGGCCATAACATTTAAAAGAAGAAGAATTTTTGTTTAATTTTTTAAACATGATATCAAGAAAAGGGCAAAAAGCCATCAATGAAGGTGTTGTTGGTAAATATATTAAAAAAGACACGCCCCCGGATCTTCCTAGTAAGTTTGATGGAACCGTTTCCAATACTTTGTTGTGAACATTTATTCCTGAAAACAATGGTTTTTTGTTTCTTTCATGCATAAATTTTAGCTTTGAGCTTGTGCACGGGTAATTCAACGAACAGTGTTTATTTCAGTAATAAATGTGTGGACTACGGGTCATAATAGAAGGTCGAAAAGCCATCCATTTGGTGCGAGTGACGTTGCCTCTCAGAGTCATGAAAATAAGTTCGGGAAGTCACAGACGATGAGCGGGCACGCCGGGAAGTATACGCCCAGTGAGTCAGTACCCAATTTAGCGCACAGGTACATGACATCACTAATTAGCTACCATAATTGTCCAACAAGCTTGTTTACTTGCATTTCTCGATAGTGTTTTGTTGTAGATTCGCAAGTCTCTCTACTAGCGACACACCGAGTACTTCGAGTAACTTTAACTCACAGTACCTGCTGGATTCTAATTTGGTAAATGCATCTATATTAAAGTTATGTGTGGTATCTGCTAATTGACATGAAATTGTTTTATTTCTTTTTTATTTGATGTCAAGCAAACTAGCAAGTTGTGGGCCTGGTAGTAAGGGACAAGCCTCTCCATAACAGCTTTAAATCGCAAAGACCTGAGAGGTACTTTCCCTGTGGCTGTCACCCTGAGATATAAATTGACAAGTCTTATGTGCCTGTAATTTCACCAGCACCCTTAACTTTTAAAACTGGAACACAGTAATGGTCACATTACTGCTCAACAGCAGAAATAGATGAGTGAAAATGTTTTATGTTGTAGGCTTCCCAATCAACACTGAATGACATAGATGATTCGTTCAGCAGACAGACAAGCTACAGATATTACAGACAACAGCAACAAGAAGATCCTATTTATCAGAATCAGCAACAGGTAATAATAAAATCTATAAAGGCTACTGTATTCTATATTGTACAAATTTTAAATATATAGGTGATAAAATATCACTCCATTTTTTTTCCAGTGCATAAGATTCAGTAATAAAACACATTAGTGAAATGAAGTTTTATAAAATTTTTTGCAGTTTTAAATTGTTAACATTTCCCAGTAATTTCTAATGCATGGTATCCACAAAATAGTAAATAAAACTCGAGCGATTAGCGCCGGCGTTTCTGACGTCAGCGTGTCTGCGCGACGTCGGTGCCGCCACACGCTAGTATATTTGAGAGTTGCAAACGGTGTACACATCTATTCTCATTGGGAGTGTTATGTGTGATTTGTGTGTTATTAAAGTGGGTAGTCTTCACGAAGCTTGAAGACTGTATGCATCTCCTGTCAACAAGCTCAGGGCGTGGTGGAGCCAAGGGTTCTTCAACTAAGCACACCTTTAATGGTAAACCAACACCTTTTCAACCACAGCCAAACTGGCCGTTATGAATTCAGAGTCTGAAATGTAGTGTGCGACAAATTTTAAATGGATGTGGTGCGGCAGACCAGGAACAACGACAGCAAATAACCTATCCTACTGGGAATCGAATCCATAAACTCGCGCGCTGACTCCGCCCACGTTGCTATGGCAACAACATCTATTACATCTTGGGTGTCATTGTTATTCACAATTTCTCGAAAAACTTTGAGACATCATAACTTATTTATTGGTCAAGTATTTAAAAAAAACCAAACAATTATATTTTTTATTTCTATTATTCATATTTCTATTACATGCTCCTTTAAAATAGTGGTTGTTTTAATAAAAAAAAAAAATACAGGATTTTCAAATTGGACAGACGGCAGCTACATATTGACAGATCTTGTTCCATTGCACTGGAGGCAAAATTGGAATAAAAGTGTATAGCTTGATGATTGACTATATTATGTTGTTATCTATTATATATTTATTATCTATCAATCCAAACTTATAATATTATAAACAAAGTAACTCTCATTACGTTTTCACACGTAAACCACTGAACCATGTTTGATTAATTTTGATACAGAGATAGATGGGCCAGAAGAAGGACATAGGCTACTTTTTCTCACAATAATAAATTTTTGAGGGCATGAAATAGGGTATGATATTTTGTTTGGAGAAACGATAATTTCTCAAGTAAGTAGTACAGTAGGCTACTCAAAAGTATTTATTCTACGCAGACGAAGTCGCGTGCACCTGTCAGCAAGTTATATTTATATATGTATAATTTAACTAAGGTAAACATACAAAATTCAGTGGCCAGTCATCAAATCACACATGGGTGCTACAACATGAGTTGTAATTCAAATCTGGCAGTTAGTAAGGTAATGGATGTTTGTAACCATTATCACGTGTCATAAAAAATAGGCTTAAATATGATGATATTTTAAATGTAAAATAAGTATATGAAGTTATAGTTAGGTTAGTTTTTTACTTATATTTAGATTAAGTTATGTGGAAATAAATTTATCTTTATCTATCTTTATCTTTAGTGACCATTTTATGTTATAATTAATGAATGAAATGAATGACAAGGTACGGTCGCTAAAATTGACAGGTATGCATTAGATATCCATACATTGCACTGCGATTACAATAGTGTTGTTCCATTTTATTTTTAAATATATTTGAAAAATTAAGTGTCTATAATAAACTATAACATAAATTTTAATGATTTTTTTGTGGGAAGTGAGTAATTCGTTTTTCATCGAGTCTGAAAAACTCCTCTTTTTGAGTTAATACACTATTGTATTAACAGTGCGACATGTATATAAGAAATAATAAAAAATATGCAAGAAAGGATGTGGGATTTTCCAGTTAATTCCAAATTGTATTGTTCGACCAATTACACATAATGGAAATAAATTTTCTTTTCAATATAATGATTACCAATTAAAGGAAATTCATTATTATTATTATTAATATAGTACACCAAAAGGTAGTTAGTATTTTAGTTTAACATCTTTTGTTTCTTTACATTAATAAACTGTCTAATACAACCAACCAATAATTTGGCTTTCATAGGAATTACTGAGAATACATCAGCAAATTTGTCCTAATTTGTTGAAATATAAGCAGAGATCAGTATATATTTCAATTCTCTTTTATGTATTATACGTCAATTGTAGTACCTAGAATTCTCAAATACTTACAGGTACAACAACAAAAACAACAGCAGTATGGATCCAGGGAGTCGAGCATGCCAAGATTGTCTTCCAACTTGAGCCTCACTCCAAGATTGCATCCTCCATCCCCACATTCTCTCAGGCTGCATACTTGCAGTGACTGTGAGTACTTTTCCTTTTGGACGGTTTTACTGTTTTGGGTATTGTGAAAGATTGACTTGAATGTTTTATAAAATATTTATTACAATGTCAATAACAATTCTGAACAACTATTGTGGATATAATAATCAAATCAAAATCAATTTATTTCAGACAGATACAGTCCATAATTTTATCAAAGTTACACAAAATTATGTATGGAGTCCCGTCACAATCTGCCAATATGAAAACAAAAAAATAAAAAACATAGTCCTCAAATTAAAGGCGATTGCAGTCTCATGAATGGAGCATGATCGGGCAGTCAACCCTACCAGCCACAATGCGAAGAATGTCATTAGAGCTAATAAGTTCAATAATAATATGAGTTCTATAAATGGTACAATAATTAATATATCCTTTGTTACAGCATACCCAAGTAGCAGTCGGTCATCTCCAATGTACTCTAACTACGTAAACACGTCAGTACTGCCTTATTCTTCAAAGAGTCATGGAAGCAGTATAATTTCAACCAGCCAAGGTATACAGAAAAAACAGATCTAAGAGTGTGGGCGCCTTCGAATTAGACGCTTATAAAAGCGCTGCAGTGTGAACACTGTGGCACTGCAGCCGCGCCCCTACTAATTTTGTGACGCGCGCGCCGCTTGCTGTCACAATTTGCACCCCTCATGGAAGAATGGCATAAGTGGAGTTACGTCAAAAATGTTTATTGCTCCATTAGATACAGAAATATATAAGTCGTTTTCAGATAACCTCAAAAATGTGTCCCTTTCAATAACTTTATATTTTTACATTAATGCTAAGCATTATTTATTTAATAAGATTGCTTGTTTACTTAGTCTGCGTTACACATAAAAAGAATACTTTATTACGCCACAGTAATAAATAAATTGAGGATAAACTCTAATAACTTTCACGTCGAATACATACCGTAACTTTCCCATTTATTATAAAGAAATGTGTTTTCTAGGCAATGCAAAATTTGTTTCAGTTTTTCTTATCATTAGTGTCAATTCAACTAAAAGCCTCGTAATAACAAAAGTTCCTATCGCATCACCTTCACCCTTCGCACACGTGAGAAGGGGCTCCTGGCGGATTGGAGTGTACACAGTGAAGTAAACTGTGTATCTTCATTTTAGAAAAAAATCTACATAAATATCAATTTCAGCGCAAGTGACTAAATCGTTCTCATTCATGTAAAGCAATCTATCTAAATAAGTATTAAGTAATAGTCTTATAAACTTTATTGTACATCAAAGGGAACTTTAAAATCCACGCACTTTTATAACGGTTCAACATATTTTACAACCCTCACAACTAAAAATTTATCTCAATATCATTCTTGTCGCTGTCATTCTTGTCTACTTTTAAGTCAAATAGTTGCCTTAAGCCAAATATTTACTTTAAATATAATAATTAGATGGTGATGATGATGATGCTGGTGCTGATGATGATGATGTCCATGAATGTGGTGGTGATTTTAAATGTTCTTTTGTAAAATATAAAATGTGTGTTGTAATAATAATTTCTCATTACTGTGCCGTCTTTCTCATTTATGTTTATGAGAAAATCATTTGCATTCCTGCAATCTCATTCATGTGACCTAAAATACAGTATTTTGTTGTATTTCACTTAAATTAATAATTATTTAAAGTGATTTAATAATTATTGACATTGTTTGAACTTATTCGTACGATTAAGATCTTAAAACCAAAAGAAAAAGGGTTTTACAAAAATCACTCCAAAAAGTGCCATTGAAATTCGGAAAGTGAAATTCACCCATACCCTACATTCTCACCAATTCTTGTAATTCTAACGACTAAAATTGTATATAGAGTTACAAAAATAGAGGATGTGGGTTATATTTTTCTATATCAATGGAGCAATAAACATGTTTGTCGTAACTCCACTTATGCCATTCTTCCATGCAGGGTGCGAATTAGTGAAATAAAAATTACCGAAGCGCTACAGACGCGCGGGTGTAAGTGGCAAGAAGGCAAGCGTCTAATTTGAAGGCACTCTACATGAAGAAAAATAGAAATAGATTTTTTTATATGTTCTGACTGAATGAGGGAATAAAATAAAATACTTTTTGTTGCATTGCATATTAATATTTACGATAACACAGAGCAGTATAGTATTCACAGTGCGTGTGTGTACTGTTTTACAACTAGCTACTTGTCATTATTTAAACCAATAAACCGAATCACATGTATTATTTTGTGTTTTGACTATTTAGCTTCAGAGGAATGTGATCTTCCTCTACCGCCCGGCTGGTCCATGGATCGCACCCTGCGCGGGCGCCGATACTACATGGATCACAATACGCAGACAACCCATTGGACGCATCCGCTCGAGAGTGTACCACAGCCGTGGCAGAGAATCTCAACGCCGCATCATGGCGTTTATTATTTCAAGTTAGTTTTGTCAATATTCATTCCCAGTTCGTATTAAATTTCCATCATGCGTGCATATATCGCACCCTTAGTAATATAAGGGCACAATCCAAAAAAAGTAGATTTTTGGGAAATCTTTCTTCAAATAATATGCTTATTATTTAAGTTATAAATATGAAATTTGGCAGATTTGTGGCCATATAGTACAAAAAATATAACAGAAATATGGAGCTATATAAGTTTGATCCCATTTATTATTTAAGTCCCTATCAATTCCCAAATTTCCCAAAAATCTACTTTTTTTGGATTGTGCCCTTATATTACTAAGGGTGCGATATAGACTCCCTTGTACCATAAACACGCCACTTGTATCTTGGCCAAGCTAAACTGGTTAAATTTTCTGTTACAGCGAAATCACTCATCAGACAACTTATGCACACCCTTGTCTAGTGGGTGGATGCTATTTAGTCAGCCCTTATGTTCCTACTCTCGTCCCACCTTATTTGCTTGAGGAGATACCACACTGGCTCATTGTTTATTCTAAGGGTAATTTAATTCCTAAATTGTGTACTTTTTGATATTCTACTGATTGGAATAATGGATTGAAAACTAAATATTTTTTTAACACAAAGACATTTTATCAGATCTTTTATTCGATTGATTCGTAATATCTGCATAATGAGAAAAGAAATTTAGTGGGTATGGTTCTATTCCACTTACAACCAGAATGCTTGAAGTCTCACAAATGGTTACATAACATTGTTACTTTTATTTTATTCTAGTCCAATATTCAATTCAGTGGCTTATTTTTATCCGCTTTAAATATACTTTGCTTTCATTGTTTACAATTTACGGTTTGAAAGCTGCATATTGCAACACATAGATATGATTTTCTTTTGCAGCTGACCAAGAGTTGGATCACAAGTTACGATGGAACATGTTCCGTCTGAGTGAGCTGGACTGTTACTCGGACATGCTAACACGCCTTTACAAACAGGAGCTGCAGTTGATCGTCATGAAATATGAACAGTACAGGTTAACATTTTTTATGTATAACAATCTATATAGCTCAAAAATAATTGTCCATAAAAACATTTCCAAGAAAAATGCAAAACAAAAGCATAACAACCTCATTACCTAGGTAGGATGAAAAATGATTACAAAGGCTCAAAAAAGTAAAGAAAATTTAAAATCCTCAAATAATTTTACAATTCGACACGATAGAACGTAACCCTACATTGATGCGCCATGTGAGTGTTGCTCTATAATCAGCCTATGGCTCAACTCACACTGCTGGCGCAGAGTCGAAGCGTCGCGTCGCGTCCTGTTTTTCAACTACAACGCCTGGCGACAATGCACACTTTAATGCGCCCGGATCACAGTGTGGTCGGCGTCAGACGCTTCACTGCGCTCAAGTGACGCGCGAAGCCGCTCGACTGCATCAAAGCGTCGACGCCCGTTTCCATATTAGCATAACACAAATTTGTACCTTAATTATGGGAAAATAGAGATGAATATACTATAGGCGAAAAACATGACGAGTCTCGACGCTTCGACTCTGCGCCAGTGGGAGTTGAGCCTCCCGGCTTTTAAAACAGGGTCACCTGATAGTTATACCGGGTGTAACAGAAAGGTGTGGTCATATTAAAGGACCCAAATGTACACTTGATTTAGACCCTGTGTGCAAAATATCAAATAAAAATAAGTGACTTTTAATGTTGATATAAGTTTAATTATGTTTGTATAAATAGTGATTGTCCGAAACAACCACTGCGTCACAACTCTATTGCTAGTTACGTTACTACGACTTCACAAATTCATTCATGAAACCTGGGCGGCCGCAAGGCGGGGCGAAAGAACAGCTGACTACAATTGAAACCATTGTAAAAACATGATTTGAATATGTTGATAATACGTTAATATTAAGTAACAAAATCTTTAAATACCTAGAAAAATCGAATCATTTCTTACAATATTATTTTATGCTATACCTAGGTACGCGTACGTATTTATTTACATACAATTTAAAGAATATTTATTTACTTATTAAGCCCGTAGTTACGCACGCCTTCATCGTATACACATTTTACATAGTTTAGTATTAATACATTTATTTACGACAATTTTACAATAGTGGATACTTTTTTAATTGGTACTTACCTACTGTTCAATTCATACACGTTTTAATGAATTTCCTACGAATTGTAATTGTACAATGTACGAAATATTGACTTGTTTACGATAATTTTGAATAATAAGCACAATCACTGCACGCACTGCTGGCACATTTCACACATTTACAGGTAAGGTTCAAAATGCCGACCTCCATGCAATATGCATATGTCCGTGTGTCGGTACAGAGACTGCTCTACTCTTTGAAGCATCTGCCGAGTGATTTGACTAAATGCCATTTCGATCCGCTGCCTCATTTCTTCTGCGCTTTCACAGGACTCCGCATAAACAATATTTTTTATATGATCCCATAAAAAAAATCGAGCGGTGTCAAGTCTGGGGACCGCGCTGGCCAGGGTACAGGACCTCCCCGCCCAATCCACTGCGGGAAACGGTCGTTCAGATGGGAACGTACATTTCGAGCAAAATGTGCGGGTGGTCCATCGTGCTGGAAAGTCATCCTGTGTTCCATCACGAGTCTCACGTATTGTGTCACTGGCAGGGCCATCAGAACGTCATCCAAGTCTTCTGTTAGGAATCTTAAATAATTGGCCCCATTCAGACTTGCCGGCAAAAACACTGGACCGATGACGGCACAACCTATTATACCAGACCACACGTTAATCCGCCACTGGTGTTAAAAATTTGATTCCCTTGATACGCGGGGATTCAAATGAGTCCAAAAATGTTCATTATGCATATTGATAATGCCCGCACGCGTAAATGACGCCTCGTCTGTCCACAGTACCGACGAAGCGAAGTCGGGAGACCTCCCAATCTGGTCGCGGTCGTAAACGTAACGGAACGTGGATCATAGTCCGCTTGTAACAGCTCCTGCGTTCTTTGAAAATGGTATGGGTGCTGGCCATCATCCCGTAGCACACGCCACACACTCATATGGTTCACACCACCAAAGGCTGCCGCAGCACGACGAGTACTTGTCTTTGGATTGCCGAGAAAATGTTCCAAAACATCTGCCTCGAATTCTGGGTCTCGTGAACTCGGCCGGCCTTCAGAACTGGAACCACGGAACGATCCACTATTATGAAGTCTCATAACCATCTTCCTGAAGCATTTCAGAGTAGGAAATGGTCGACGTCGATTTTCTGGGACGCCATCAACAAACTTTGCCCAATAAATTTGGCGAGGCTGGCGTAAGCTCCCATTGGCTGCGCCTACGCACAACATCATCTCATAGTAATCACTATTGCTTAAGCGTGACATAGTTTAAATAAACACAAAAACGAGACACAAACAAAACGATGACGCCTATTTAGTCCTCACAACGCAAACGGCAATTACAGACTGTTACAAAAAATAAAAAAATAGTGCCTCTGCCTCAGCGGCGGCGGCACATCAAAGGACGCCGACTGAAACGCAAATTTTGGAATATAGGGTAACGTTTTCATAATGTACATACAGGATGAAATTAAAATTATTACCATCCTTTTAAAATAAGACCCTTCTCATGATACAAATTACATCATTACATACACATTAAACGAATACCTATACCCTACGTATCTACGACCTTCAACGTTGCACTGCATACGCCTTTGTTCACCCGTACCACTTCCACACAACGCAAGAACTGACTGGGTGATTACGGATATACTGCACTAAGGAGGCAGTCACCCATCGGAAACCCACGACGTCCGAAACGAAAGCCTAACACACTAACCACTACACCATGGAGGCAGTCGACTATAGGAATCAAATCCACGACCTCCGAAACGAAAGCCTAACACTCTAACCACTACACCATGGAGGCAATCGACTATAGGAATCAAATCCACGACCTCCGAAAACAAAGCCTAACACTAACCACTACACCATGGAGGCAGTCGACTATGGGAATCAAATCCACGACCGCCGAAACGAAAGCCTAACACTCTAACCACTACACCATAGAGGCAGTCGACTATGGGAATCAAATCCACGACTTCCGAAAAGAAAGCCTAACGCTCTAACCACTAGACTATGGAGGCAGTCGACTATGGGAATCAAATCTATGACATTCAAAAAGAAAACCTAACGCTCTAACAACTACACCATAGAGCCAGTCAACTATGAGAATCGAATCCACGACCTCCGAAACGAGTCTAACATTAACCACTACTCCACATCACGATGTATAAAATCAAATGCTGGCGGCGAAAATCAAAGGTGATATTTTTGCCGCTAAAGTTGCCGCCAAAGGCTTGCAACTTCGCTACGATTACGTATCGCGTACGCAAGGCGACTAATCTTGATACTTTGTTTATTTAGGTAAGATTTTTTATGGTTTTACACTATTGCTAATTTAAACTATTCTAAAATATTTCTTTAGATGAGTAGATATTATTAGGAAGTAAGAACCTTAATAGGTTCAACGGATGTTAATTATTTTTAATTTCACCATGTAATAAACCCATACACAGAAAGTTGTCGTGTGTAGATAAGTCAAATTAAGCGTAAACCTGTTGTTAGAAACGTGTGCTCAGCAATAGACGTATGTAAGTTAGTAAAGTACTATTTTTTGCATAAGGTTTAGTCCACTACACTTGCATAGTAAGTACTAGTTGGAGACTTGACATTTTCGCATCTTTGAAGATTTCGGCAATTATCTCCGAAATCCAAGTTTTCTCACGATATTTTCATTTCCAAGCACGTGATGAAAATTATAATAATTAATTCGTGGTCAACGATCAAAACTAATTTCTTGACGTTTGCCGACCTTCAGGTTGCACCTTTACGATGAAAGTGTCCCAATACAAAATTTCAACTTTTTGGGAATACGCAAAATAAGATTCAAGTTGTGACATTTTCATATTATTTTATTTATTACTCTTGAAGTACTAAAGGTGATGGCCTTATTAGTCTTTGAAAATAATGAGGAAAAATGGAACTTTACAACTGAAAATTGTTTCTGATCATTTTAATGTTCAACAATTTAAAAACATAATTTACAAAAACTAGTCGCCTATAGGTCTTTTTTTAACGATTTTTTGTTATCATTTAACGTACTAAGAATTAAGTCTTTTTAATGTTCATCAGCTAAGCAAGATGTCATAACCCTTGATATTGTTTTGTGATCCCTATTTCACAATTAAAAAAGAAGAAAGTCCACGAAACAAAAAAGTCAGTCCCTTTAAAAAGTAAGTTAATAAAAAAATATATTTTTTTTTAAATATTAAGCGACGGGTCGAACAAGTCGTGTACCCGGTGGAAAGCATCACGCATGTCCATAACAGTAGCACTGCCGCTCGAAGGTTACTGCTACGGCGTCCATCTCTCTGAGACATAGTGGACAAGTCCCATGTGCCTGTAATTTCACCAGCACCCTTACCCTTCAAAACTGTAACACGGTAAAGTGGCAGTACTACCCTGGACGAACTCACAAGGAGCTCTACTGCTACTAGTGATTGTTGAATATGATTTTCGGAACGAAAATGGCTCAAATGCTAATCCGTCAGTGGCAGCGTGTTGTCTTTGCAAATGCAGATTCAACAATAAATGCGGCGTTAATATCTCGACGCGGGAGTAGAATTTTTAAACTGAAAGAACAAAATGAAAGGGACCTTTATGAATCAGTGCTATTCGAGCTTTAATTGCACAATTTCATCTTCACCACAGTGTGACTAATGTAACAAAATATTTTTTTAAGATGGTTTTACGGTATAAACTCATTTTTTAATTTTTTGATTTGGGTCGCTTTCATTGTAAGGGTGCGAAGTATTAGTCGGATAATTGCGTCATATTGCGTCATGCGTTAGAAGAAACATACCGACGCCGCCATGCGTTAGAACAGTACCGACGGATAGAAAGAGACAAATTTCATTCATTAAAATACAATAGATGAATGCGTATGGTAAAAAGAAACAGAGATAACTTTAAATATGTGTTTTTTAGAGGACATTAGTTTTATTAATGGATATTAAATGGAAATTTGTGTATTTTGTATGTTTGAAGATATGAAGTTAACGAAACCATATTACGTTATTATGTACTAAGTTTTAAATAATAGTTTTATTATGAAGTAGTGTATTTTGGCAAAGTAATCGATAATATTTATTTTTCATTAAATGTTCACACGCATATTACATGAATAAAATAATAATAAATTTAGTAAATTATAACATAGTAATAAGAATATGGCATTAAGTACTTTATCATTTACAATAACATGCCTGAATTTCACAATTTTTTCAAGTTACGTAATTTGGTTGTATTATGATACTCAATAGAGATGTGATGTGACTATTTATTTTCGTTAAATGACATCAGCTGATCGAAACTGTTCATGGCGAAATTTCCATAAATAACGTAGTGTGTACTAAAACAACTTTGCTAACTAGTTTCATACCATTAGCTGAATCCGACCTTCAAATATGACCACACCTTTCTGTTACACCCTGTATATATATATATAGATAGGGAATATATATAGAATATGCAACAAACACATGAATTTTTGGAACTGATTTTTATCTCAAACTGACGTCAAGACAACACACGTCATAGACAACCATCGAATTCATCATCTCCATCACCTTTAGATGGGAAACTTACATTAGGAAATATACAATATCTTTAAAAGTAAATTTACAAGCGAACCAAGTATCAAAACTAGGGTCATCTTATTCCCGACCACACAGCCCGACTTGAACTTAACTTATTGAGGAAGAAGAATTGAGGAGCGAGTGCCAAGATGCATCAGAGGAGGCGGAGAGGGAAGAACAGATAGAGACAGCGGGACAGCAGGAAACAGCAAAAAAAGCACATGAGGCGGTAGATGGATCGGCTATGCTACCCGCTGATGTGCGCGTCTAGAGTTCACCCCTTCCTGGTGATAGGGCTTTAAGACCTAAAAAGAAAATTAAGTAAACCTAGTTTTTTTTTTAGCATAACCAGCATTTCAGGTGCACTTTGTTTGTCACTTTACATCATAAAAAAAATATATATTCAATAATTGTTTTCTGCTTTCATTTTATTTCAGATCAGCGCTATTGCAAGAGCTGGAGAGAAGGCGGCATGCAAAGTCTTGCCAGCACACCAATTATTAAACTTTACTAGTTTGCCTAATTGAGCTGTGATTTTAATTAGGGAAAAGTGGAGCTGTTTGTAGATAGATTATACTTTTCTAAAACTGTCTTATTTTCCTTATTTAGAACAGTTTGCTGAAAAATGAAATATATAGGTATAGTTTCTTTTCCACTTAAATGACAATACACCCTTGTGGTTTGGTAGACTGACAAATGTGATTTGTTTGATACATATTATAATTTTGTATAAGTATTTAAAAAAAAATTGATGCTAGCTCATAGTTACAAAAAAAAATATGGATCATATAAGTGCCTTATAAATAAGCAAAATAAAATGCTTGTATTTTACAAATGATATTTTTATTTACAGAATTGTGTCCTGTATAGTGGCCACGAACAAAGGGACATTTACTATTACCTCGTTCTTGCATACCACAAATGATGCTGATTAAAGGCCTTTACACATTCCTTTTTACTATTATTTATGTGTACACTATTAATGTTTTCAGTTATGTATGTAAGTATTAGGGGTTAAAGTATGAAATTGCCGTTTTATTGCAATAGGTTCTTTGAATTTTCATAGAATCTTCATGGTTTGAGGTTTTCGAATGAAACTTTTTTCAAATGGTTTCTGTGATTTTTTTTTTAAATTTGAAACATTTGAATATCGACTTTCAATTGTTTTTGTTATTCAATTTAGACAAGAAAGATGGATACTGCGAAAATTCGAGTGATTTTTGAATACGAGTTCCGACGCGGAACTAACGCGGCAGAAACAGCCCGCAATATCAAAATGCTGCGTTTGGAGAGGGGTCTACTAATGAACGCACCGTGCGATTTTGGTTTAAACGCTTTCGTGATGGAAATTTCGACTTAAAGAACGAGGCACGAGGAAGACCGCCCACACAGGTGAATAACGATGAATTAAGAGAGATAGTGGAAGCCGATCCTAGTCAAACTACCCAGGAATTAGCGGCATGGTTTAACGTTACCTTACCCACAATATTGACTCGCTTGCGTCAAATCAATAAAATAAAAAAATACGAAAAATGGGTGCCTCATGATTTGACTGATCTGCAGAAAGAAACGCGTGTTGAAACTTGTGTTGCCTTGTTGAACCGGTACAGAAATGAAGGAATATTGGATCGAATTGTAACATGTGATGAAAAGTGGATTCTTTATGATAACCGGAAAAGAAAAATGCAATGGCTGACCCCAGGTCAAATGCCACAACAGTGTCCTAAAGCAAAACTTACCAATAAAAAGGTAATGGTAACTGTTTGGTGGTCTCAGCATGGTGTTATTCACTATAGTTTTCTCCGATCTGGTCAAGCAATAACGGCAGATGTCTATTGTGCCGAACTCCGAACCATGTTGACAAAACTAGCAGTAAAACAGCCCCGACTCATGAATCGATCTTCACCATTATTGCTCCACGACAACGCGAGACCTCACACAGCACGAGAAACCATTTTGACCCTTCAGGAACTGCAGTTAGAAACCATTCGTCATCCTCCGTATTCACCAGACCTTGCTCCAACGGACTACCATTTTTTTCGTGATTTGGACAATTATCTACGTGACAAGAAGTTTTCTTCCCAGGAGGCAGTACAAAATGCTTTCACACAGTTTGTGCAGTCTAGATCGTCGGAGTTCTATCGCAAAGGCATTAATAACCTTCCCATTAGATGGCAGCAATGTATAGATAATAATGGCAACTATTTTGATTAAATAAATTTGTTAAAAATTTAAAAAAGAAACAATTTAGATTTTCAGTACAAATCGGCAATTCATACTTTAACCCCTATTATTAACATACAATGTGCTCCAGTAGACAAATGTATAGTTACAGCAATTTGCTACACAAGCCATTAAACACCTGAAAAGTTAAAAATCACCATGTGTAAAGGTACTTTCATGTGGCTTGAACAATATTGACCAATGATGAGATTTATAGCTATTCAGTTATCATCTCACTTTCTTCAAATTTCTTTTCAGGTACTACTTCACTTTTTTCACCATCTATAATGTCATATTCATCTACTTTTTTGAACCCGGATATCCTGTATACTTTAGCATTCTTTATTCCTAAAGTGTTAGCCCAGGAATGAGCTGAAAAGAAAAAAAAAAGAAATCTGGAACATAAAATAATAGTTTTTTGGGTTAATAATCCCATTAATTGAAATGAAATCAAATAAACTATACATTTCCAGTGTTCAGCTTTTTCTCAGTTTACCAGCTTTACTAATGTCTTGATGAATTCAAGGGTGTTTGTGGTACAGTCATCATTTCAGATTTCCTTAACACAAGTGCTTTAATTACTTTGGGATCAGTGCAACATACCGTCGCCTTGGAGTGAAAACCTCGTATATGCATTTTTACATAGTTGGGTTTTATTGACTTTTTTGTGTAAAAACTTTTTAAACTTCTTGCTCAAATACAGTCTGACGATTTGCATTCTCACCATACTTAAGAAATTAATAATACTAAATCACGTAAAAATATAAAAAAACATACTGTACAATATTCTGACTAATTGTCTAGTAAAGTTTTGCAAAATTGTCTTTAAGACCGTCTCGGTGCAGTATAGACGTGGGTTCAAGTCTCACTGGTCGATTAAAGTTTTTCTGTGTATTTAATCGTTGTATTCATAATCATAACAAAAACTAGTGTAGTTATTTCATTTCACAAAAAAATGTTAGTAAATAATATTTATTTATTCACATAGAAATAGTCCCGCTTTCTATGGCTATAATATAGGGTCTTCCAATAAGAGGTTTCATTTTGATAAGTATGTAAAAAAAAAGAGTATTTTTAAGAAAAAACATCGGATGTTTAGTTATTTACAAAGAGGAGGGTAAGCCATTAATAATGGAAAACAATATCAGTCAAATGGCCGCCACGACTGCGCTTGCAGGATCATATTCTTTTCATCAAATTTTATATAACCAATTTGCACTTTTGCAGCTGTGTGTCCTCGATAACTTCATGAATTCCATCTTTGAGGTCTTGAATCGATTGTGGGCCATTGGCATAGACCTTATCTTTCAAGTAGAACCAACTTCATTCCACATTGCTCCAGCCTCATTTTCAAAAAAGTGACCACCGAAGTATTTTAATAACCGGCAATCTATCTCACCACTGCTCCACATGTCTTGCAACCCTGACATTGGCAAAGTCGTCACGCAAAACGACGGAGCCATAGACACAAAAGTTGAAGTTGAAGTTCACACAAGTAATGATACCATCACTGTTTTGTGTGAAAAATTTCCTGACCAAGTGATTTCTTGAAGGGCAATCGCAATTGGCCACCGAGATCTTGTGATTTAACACATTTGGACTTTTTTCTTTGGGGCTATGTGAAAGGTAAGGTCTATGCCAATGGCCCAAAATCGATTAAAGATCTCAAAGATGGAATTCGTGCAGTTATCGAGGGCATACAGTCACAAATATGCGAATTGGTCATGGAAAATTTCCTAAAAAGGATAAGGTCCTGCAATTGCAGCAGTGGCGGTCATTTGACTGATATTGTTTTCCATTTTGAATGGCATACCCTCCTTTTTACAATTAATGGAACGTCCGATGATTGAGCTTAAAAATACTCGTTTTGTTACATATCACAATGAACCCTCTTATTGGAAGACCCTTTATAAAAATATTGTATGTGTGCACCATTCAGGTTCACTGAGCTCCACATCTATCTTTTGAGTCACTTGTTTAAATACATGTTACAAAATATAAGTAAGATTACCTGGCGATACAGAATGTTCCTCGTCTGTTTTAAGACCGTAGTAATGAGCCCAGTCACCTTTGCCTTTATAAGCACTATACAACACTAAACCAAAGGCGTTCCAAGCAAGGAAACCGTAGAGCAAGCTGAGCCGCGTTTTCCACATAACAGCCTTGTCCGCAGAAATCGGCTTCGTCCTCTTTCGAACGAAAACGTGCCACCACTTGTAAATCATTTTGATTTCTAAAACTGAAATATTTTATATGAAATTTTGCTGAAGTTGAGTACTTGTAAGTTCTTGACAAGTAGAATAAATAAATATAGTTATTGTATGTACATTGTAACAGGGATCCAACATAAAATATGCTTCTAAGTAGATTTTTGTGAATATTTCGATTTTACATAACCAAAATAAATCTGAGAATTCGAGGTTAGAAAATTTGACATTGACATATTAATTTTTTTATTGAGCTTTGGGTACAAGACGGTCTAAAGGCTGATCCACGTTACACCACCGTGCCGATGCCGCCGCGCCGGTCCAGAAATTATATCTTTCTAATTTGTGGTCCGGGCCGTCACCGGGTCGTGTTGTTTCCACCGTGGGCGGCCACTCGGTCGGCGGGAATTTTTTTGTTATTTTCCATTTTTCTGTTGAGTGATAAACTGATAAGGTCGTTGAAAATTGCATTAATAACAATGCAATTTTCACGTCTTGAGTTGCCAGCTATTGCAATAGCTCTTGATGACGAAGTATTGGAAACACAAAGTTCATATAAAAACCACGGCTAGCGCACGACCTGAGCACGGCCTGGCCCCGGCACGATATACCATGAATCAGCCTTAAAACTAAAACCTTTAGAACTTATACTTATTCTATAATTGTGATTGTGATGTGAGATGACAAGGTTGTTTGTCGTTTTTTAGATTTAGTAACTTAAACTGACCATTGACTGACCACATACAACTTGTTTGAAAAATGTAAATATTTTAAATTGTGTCGATGATATGGATAGACCGGAAAATGATAAGGATTCTGAAATGAAACTATTTTTCCGGATTTAAATCGCGTATATTTGTTTTTTCAAACAAACCGACGTTTCGGGCCCTTTACAGGTCCCATGGTCACGGTTGACAACCGAAACGTCGGTTTGTTTGAAAAAACAAATATACGCGATTTAAATCCGGAAAAATAGTTTCATTTCCTATGTGTAACAATCGCGAAAACCTAAGAACTCGATAAGGATTCTGAAACTGAGGATTGGGCGATGAGAATAATCCTTTTACTTGCAAATACGTTACATACATACGTTGCAAATTGAGTAAACGAGATTAAGAAAATTATGCCGCCAACATGTTGGAGTTACGTCAAATCAGACCTGAATCCCGCTGACTGTGCCACGCGTGGACTGACATCGACCCAGCTGAAGTGCCACCGTCTCTGGTGGGAGGGACCGCCGCCGCTTATTGAAAGCCTATAGCCATCTCAATACATATATGAACCACCAGAGGTTGAAATTAAAGTGAAGAAACATATCTGCACGGTACAAATTAAAACTTCACCCCTTATAAGTGAACTTATAAATAAATGCAGTTCACTGTCTCGGGCGGTGCGCGTCATATGTTGGGTGTCGCATTTCATAACAAACGCACGCGGTCGATCGGATAACAATGGACTTACAAACGCGTCCTTTGTAACAGCGATGGAAATTGGAAATGCTACGAAGATCATAATTAAATCAGTGCGACCGGAGATGTTCTCAAAAGAAATTGAAAACATAAGAGACAAAGGGCATGTCTCTTGGAAAAGTTGCATTGCAAATTTGAATTCCTTTTTGGATACAGAGGGCATTCTGCGAATGAAAGGAAGATTACAGAGACCAAATCTCGACATGGATACAATGCAGCCGATTATAATTCCATATCATGCAAGATTCACGGAATTACTTATTGCAGAAAGCGCACCAAACTACATTGCACGGTGGTGTTAAACTTACCCTAGCGCATGTCCGGAACAAGTGTTGGATTATAAGCGGGAGTCGGGCTGTAAAGAAGGTACTGCGTCAATGTACTATATGCATACGTATCAGTGCACAGAAACAAGCACAGCTGATGGGAGATTTGCCGTCACCACGAGTACGCATTGCACGTCCTTTTATACATACCGGCGTAGATTTCACAGGCCACGTTGACGTCAAAGCCAATAAAGGACGTGGGATTAAAACAACCAAAGGCTACATTGCAGTGTTTATATGTCTAACGATAAAGGCTATTCACCTCGAACTCGTGTCCGATCTCAGCACCTCAGCATTTTTAGCCGCATTTAAAAGAATGTGTGCCAGGCGCGGCACGCCACAACACATGTATAGTGACAACGGCACCAATTTCGTCGGTGCCGCCCGGGTGCTCGCGACAGAATACAAACAAGCTTTGCAAGTTATCAACACGGATTTCCTGGATCACGTCAACAAAGTTGGGGTCAATTGGCACTTCAACGTACCTACCTGGATCAGTGCTGGTGGACTCTGGGAAGCAGCTGTGAAGAGTCTAAAACATCACTTGAAACGTATAATAGGCGATCAAAAATTGACCTTCGAGGAATATTCGATATTACTTGCACAAATTGAAGCGTGGCTTAACTCTAGACCTCTCTGTTCATTGACCGAGGATCCAGAAGACATGCATTATTTGCCACCTGGTCACTTTCTAGTTGGTGGTCCTCTTTTATCAGAGCCACTCTCTGACATCAACATCGACAATATCAAAACCAGGTGGCAGATGACTGAGAAGATGTACAAGGAGTTTTGGAAGAAGTGGTCATCCGATTATCTTCACACATTGCAAACAAGATGTAAGTGGCATCTACCGACGAAGAACATTGAAATTGACAGCGTAGTATTGGTGAAAGACGATAACCTGCCGCCCTCGAAATGGGCCCTTGCAAAGGTTGTTGACGTTCACCCTGGAAAGGACGGCTACGTACGAGCAGTTACCGTCAAAACACAAACTACAGTTTTCAAACGCCCGGTTGTCAAATTGTGCCCATTACCAGTGCATGCTGACAAAGAAAACCCTCATTCAGCAGCTCCAGCAACCACAACAAACAACAACCCCTGCAAGACGCACGAGGCGCATCAAGATGCAATCCACCTATTTTATTTCACTGCAAATGCCGTTGTACTTGACGTCATAATTTCAAACTTGAGGCGGATCCAAGAAACTGTCATCAATACGGTAACAAACATTTACCATGGAAGATTAGACATTCATCTTCTGGCTCCAGAACAGCTGCAGAATCAGTTAAACATTATCTCTAGACAAGTACAAGGACAACATCTAGCCCCTGTGGACGCAAACAACATTAAGGAGGTATCCAAGATTTTACGCGTTAAGGCAAGAGTGAAGGAACAATACGTCATAATCGAAGTGAAAATACCATTACTCGGAACAGACAGCTATGAACTTAACAAGGTTATACCCATACATCAACATAGAAAAAACAGATATGTTCACATCACTCCAGCCGCAGAGTACATTGCATTTAATTTAAGAAAAGATACCTTTATGTCGCTTACTGTATTGGATTTACAAGATCATCATCAGATACAATGAACAGCAACTTCTATGTCCGTTAAGCAGCCCCCTATACGAAATAGGGGTAGATCAATCAATATGTGATGTCAAAATAATGAATGATAATAGCAAAGAAACTTATTGTCGGAGCGAAATAAAGGATTGCGCCGACAGGTGGATTAAATTACAAACCTGAGATACTTTATGATTGTTTACGTGTTGTGAAGAATGCAAAGTTCGCATTTTGTGTCCCTCGGGAGTGGCGACTGCATGTCTACAATACAATGGCCTTATACTATAATACTTATACTGACGACTACAACACAGGAGAAATACTTCCAAATTCAACCCTAAACACATTGGTCAATTCTTCAATAGCACGTATACCATTTGTTGTCGAAAACCATAACATTACCCTTTGGAAATTAAAACAGCAAATTCAAGAATTACAAATACAAAAGGAAATTATAAGCAACGACGACATTCACCACTATACGATGATCTACATTGTATTCTCCGTTGTCATTGTAGCTATTGCAATTGCAACGATTTGGCTGTGCAAACAAAAGTCGCGGGAGGATCCCCGAGGAAACTTGCAACAGCAGCAGCTTCCCACAATCGTTGTCAGCGTGCCGCCGCCGCGGTCTGACGAACCTGGATCAGCGGATAAGACCACTTCTCCATTGGCAAAACACAAAACCATCCACTTCAAGACGATACGTGGAGAACCTGTCTAATTTAATTTTACACGTTTTATTTTATATTAACTTCCTTTTACTTACTCTTTTTAATTTTATTTTAATATTTTTTACTTTTAGAGTAGCACTTTGCATCTTTTTGCTCTTACATTTTGTCCTTTTAGAGTAGGCAGTATATACGAGTGATACTGTACATTTTTTATGATTTACATTTTGTTATTTTGATATGCACAAGTAAATCCGCACGATATCATATGTACTTATTCGATTTATGCTTACTGCAACACCACGGTGATCGATGTATATTTTGCAATAAATGAGTGTTATTATTGTCTCGTTCGGACACGGCCGTTTTATTTACATTATTTAATAGTACTCCAATCATTTGCATTGCAATTTGCATCTCTCTATCTCCTTGCATCGTCCTACTTGCATTTGCATACATCCTGCAGTGCAACGTGTGTTAACGGCACAAAGATCATTCCACACTTTGCAGGTTCGAGGAAGTAACGAATCCATCCAGGCATCTAAGATGTGGGGATGGACTCTACTCCTTTGGCAGGAGGTGTGGTGTTGGAAACGAGACGGTGGCACCAGTTCGAAAAGTTACTCAGAGCACTCCCCATAAGACAGTAAAACACGCACAGAGAGTCAACGTCTCTCCATAGGCTAAGGGGCTCCATACCAGTCTGCGAGTTTGTGACCATCGACAATACGAACAGCCCTACGTTAGATGGAGCAAAGTGGGTCATTCTGGTATTTGGGACCTCCTGCCATGAGATGCGAGCAATACTCCATATGGGGCCGTACTTGTTTTTTATACAACAAAAATCGGTGACCTGGTGGGATATACTGCTTCGCTCTATCGAGCATTCAAGCCAGTTTGGCTTTGCTCTCCAAATGACCCTGGAACTCGACTTCATTCGTGATGTCGAGTCCAAGTATCCTAATACTCTTAGAGATGGTAAGGAGAAAAGGGTAAAGGTGTTCTGCTTTATTCCAAATGGGTATTTATTAGCGGTGAACGCGTGTCTTTATGGGGTTAAATTTGACAAGATTCTGTCGGCCCCATTCTGAGACCTGCTCGAAAGAAGTCTCGATCTTGGACATAAGTTGTAGTCTATTTTGTTTCACTTGCTGGTATATATTTGCGCGACCTGTATAATAGGCATCACTGGTACT